TACAGGATTGCAGCCATTGTCGGCATTCAATTAAAATGTGTGTTCTACTAAACAGCTGTATATTAACACCTTCTACATACAAGTGTCAGACACTGACAGTAGACCACGTAGTAAGTTTTAGGAGAAGTCCTAATAAGATATCCATACTACTGAGTGGCCAGGTTTTCTATTTTTTTCCTGAAAAAATATTGTTCAGCAAAAGGACACCTCACCCCAATTATATTATGTATTTTGTGTTTTTAATATGAAACATGTCAAGACAATAATCCTGCACCATGGATACTTCAATGTGATTGTAGCCTTAAACAACAAAACTCAAAATTTAAAATATTTAGCTGGTTGATTTACAAAGCTTTGACAGCTCTTAAATTCAAGCATGAGTGCAGTAAAGGGGATTCTTTTTCACTGCAATCTAAAGAAGCTGAGAAAAGAAAGTGAATTCATCTCAGTGACAAGTGGATATGTATTTGAATGGCTATGAATAAATGACATTCTTATTAATCATTCACCTACTCTCAAACATCAACAAACAACAATAAAATTTGTTTTATCAAAAAGAAACTGACACCTGCATAGTGGATAAAAGTGCAATTTATTATTACTAACTGCTATGTTTATGTACAGATATTTTTTAAAAACAGTATTTTTTCTTCCATATTATTGACAGGACATACCAATTAATGCAGAAAACAAAATTGTTTTCATTGTCAACTTTTCAGGTTCAGTCTAGAATAGACCAATGAAAATCAATGACACAATTTAGTTATTAATAGGGATAGGAATCATTGTCATCATCATTATCATTTTTTATACCACACTTCCCACCCAAAATCAGGATTCGAGGCAGTATATCATGCAGTCTTCCAGGTGTTGTTGAACTAAAGCTTCCATCACATGATACATTACTAGGGCTGCTTGGGTTGTAGTCCAACATCTGGAGAATCACATAAGTCTGACAAATCCCATTCATTTTGGTGATTCAACTCTACTGAAGTAGGGCCAGTGTTTTATTTAGCCCTCTGACTCAAGATTAAGGGGACAGAGAACAGACAATCACAATCTTCTCTTTGTTTAAAATTTCAAGTTAGTCTGCCAAGGTGTGAAGATCTAGAAACCCGCTCTCTAATTCCAGATTCATGAGGTTGTGATGGTGGATGGGATTAGTTGGTGGGGAAGGGGAAAAACATACATGGTACATGTTCAAATGTATTCTCTTCCTTACAACTATGTCATATATTTCTGATATTAGCAATACACTCCATAACTGAGCCCTACTTCAAATGAAGTAGTCCCTGGTTAGAAATGACATCTTTTAGCACTTGGCAGAGTGAGCACTTGCAGCTGGCAAAGAGTGTTAAGGGTGAGTTAATGTGTACCCTGCAGCCATAGACCTACACCTGGAGACCCCGGCCGCTGAACCAGAGAACCTTTCCATATTTGGCTCAGTTCTCCAGAATGTGGCATTGACACATCTCATATCCTTCAACATTTCACAGGTAGAAACTGGAGCACGGTCAGCCAAGCAACGTCAGAGTGTTGTCAAGCTGTCAAAAGGTATTACTGAGAACACAAAAGCTATGAGATGCTTCACCGATTTGTTTCTGCCTGAGCTTACTAGGAAGGGCAGGATTCCTTCCCCTCCTTTCTTCTCCCCAATGAGTAAATTGAGAGCAAACTACTTTTGCATTTTCAATTTACTTTCCAGCAACTGAAGTAACGTGAGGACAAAGAAAGTGGGAGGAAGAGTGAAACTGGGATATTTTAAAAGCAGATGAAAAGATGATATTTCTCTACCAAATTGGCACAGTTGGCAATGCTTTAGCAGAGAAATAGACAGCACACAGCTTTTTAGAGTCAGCCAGGACCCAAATGTTTTGCTGTAAGGCAGGGATGGACAACTGAGGTGGTTCTACACATATTTTTTACACTTGGGGTGTTCCATGGACTGCATTGTTGTAGTTTTATGCCTTCAATTTGTTTCTGACGTATGGTTACCTTAAGGTAAACCTATGATGGTGTTTTCTTGGCAAGATTTGTTCAGAGGAGGTTTGCCATTGCCTTCTCCTGAGGCTGAGGAGTGTGACTTACCCAAGGTCACCCAGTGGGTTTCATGGTTGAGCTGGGAATCGAAACTTGGCCTCCAGAGTCATAGTCCAACACTCAAATCATTATGCCATGCTGGCTCTCCTAGGAGCTTCATGGACTTCAGGAAAAAAACATGGAAGTGGCCAGAAGTCTACCTATAGTTTTAAAAAATGCTCAGAAGTGGAGGATCTTGCAAGTGGTTTAAAAATGAATAATAACTCCTGGAGTCTTCTAGTGAGTGTGGCAATTCACTTTTTTATCAGAAAAAAGGCAGTCCAAGGGAATCTGAAGTGGTTAAGGGCAGTGGCAACACTAGGGTTGGCGTCACCTGGTGCAGTAACTCATGGTATCACTCCTCCCATTGACCTCTCCCCATATTACACCAAACAGAATCCTTAGTAATTTTGTTAGTGCTAATGTGACTCATCAGTCATAATACCCATATATCACTGAATGTAATGGCAACAGTTGTGACAGGAATTACTAGCAAAATTAAAACTATACCTTTAAATTACAGTATTGTATGCTCATGATGTATTTACACGTACATAGAACATTTACTATGTATTTACATGTACATAATTTCATATGGTTAAAGTGAAAAGTTGGTAAGATGAGATGTTTTTAAAGAAAAAAATTAGAATTTTAAAAAAATGTTTTAAATTTATTTTTTAAAATTAAAATTGAAAAATTTAAAAAATCCTGAGGCCTCTCCTTTCTTTCCCCACTGAACCTAACCTCACTCACATCATCTCTTCAGTGTTTTAAAGGGACACAGGTGAACAGCACAGACCATTTCTGCCAAAAGGCAGAGACCTGGTGTGGTTGGTATCCATCAAGGGTCACTGGTCAAGGGTCACAAAAGAGTTCTTGGCAGCTGCATGAGAACCCAGGACCAAGTTTTTTCCACCTCTGCTCTAAGGGGTCCTTAGAGCTATACACTGTGGTCTGGGTGTGGGTGACATACCACAAACAATCTCCAATACTACCCCTAGTCCCACACAATACCTGACCCTAAGGAATAGCTAGGGATTTGGGCCTCCCTGGCTCTGTGGACAACAGTACCAATTACTGTATTCAGATACCCCAAATATCCTTTACCTCACTTGGAGTGAGAGACGGAGGACAGATAGTGGTGACGGTGTACAGAGGCAATATTCTTCCTGCTTCTTTTAATAGTGGAAAATCTTGCATGTTGGATGACAGTTATTTACAGAAGTCAAGAAAGTACCACTTTCACTCTGAAATCCACTGAAGGGCATTTAACTGGGTCTGGTATTTCATGCACAATACAAAACAATTTGGCTGAAATCAGAAAGGCACCCACTCATTTCTAGTCCTGCAACATTACTGATAAATCTTGTTAGCATAGCTTTTTTGAGTTTTTTATTATTAGAGATTAATTGTAATTTGTAACATCTGCAGGTATAGGATCAGCCACTGTTAAAAACTTGTCTTTGAAAATGGCAGGTTAGACAATGACCCTGAAAGAAAGTTATTTGCACAGATAATATTTCACATTCTGTCAAGGTTTCTATTAACATGTTCCTTCTGTTTCAATAAAAGCATATTTTAAGACACCACGGTTCCTTGGAATTGTTAAGCATTGCAGCAAGGACAAATACGTTCCCTGAGAATGAATAAAAGTGTTAAACCTCTTATGGTAGAATCTGTCACTCATCCACAATAGAATTTTATCCCCTTCTTAAAGAGGCTTCAGTTTTTGCTTTTGAAATAAATATAAATCAGCACCCCATTCTAACTCCTTTGAGAGAGTCTTTGTTTTGTTTCTCTGAAATGAAACCACATGGCACCTAGCAGAAAAGCCTTTAACTAGTGGCAGATTAATAGTAACTGGATAATTTCCAGAGTTTTTTCCAAGCTCAGAGGTGAGGCAGGGCAGGAAATGTGCAGTCATTTTTTTTTCTACCAAGAGGAGTTATTGTCAACAGCCAAGTAGAATCTCTGTCCCATGAACAACCTTATTGAAGACACTGTTGTGTCAAAGAGAAAAAAAAAGAGGTCAGTAGAGTAAATGTAATATATATAGTGACCATAAGTCAAAGATACGGACTCTTGGCTCCCGGGAACTTATGCCCACCCAGAACTTCAATCAGCCCCACACAGCATCGCCAATTTACATTCTGGGAGATGTAATTGGGAAGATCTGGAGGGCCAAAGGTTCCCCACCCCTGTTCTAAAACATTGGGGGTTTAACCATAAATCGGGCTTGAGAATTGTCATGGCCCTTTAGATGTTGGATTACAACTCTACTATCATTCACCATTGGCTATTCTGATTAGGAATAATGGGTGTTGCAGTCTAAAAATAATTGGTGGGACCCACAGTTCTATCTCTGTTCTCTGTAATAGATTAATATTCTATAAACATAAGGACATCAGGCAAGTCATACTTTCTTTGCCTAAGTGGAAGGCAATGGCAAATGTCCTCCGAATAAATGTTGCCAAGAAAACCCTATGATAGGGTTGCTATAAGTCAAGAGATGGCTCGAAGGCATACAACAAATACAAGCAAAGTGAGCAGTGTACATACATTTTTTGTCCCCATTTCCATCTATGCCAAGTCGCTAAAAGCTTATAACCAGTCTTTCTTACTATCTATTAAAAAGAGAATATTTAACACCATGAACCTCTTAAGTGCCTTGAATGATAGATGTACAAATGTAAAATTGCATTCTAGTGCAATTAAGGCAATAACCTGTCATTCATTAATAGTGGGAGCCCTGAAAAAATTGTGACCTTCTGTTTGTTCTTGTGTACTTTCAAGTCATTTCCGACTTGTGGCGACCCTATCAAAGGGTTTTCTTGGCAAGATTTGTTCAGAGGAGGTTTGGCATTGACTTCTCCTGAGGCTGAGAGCATGTGGCTTGCCCAAGATAAATCAAGTGGTTTTTATGTCCAAGCTGGGGATCAAACCCTGGTCTCCAGAGTTGTAGTCCAGTACTTAAACCACTATGTCATGCTGGGACCAAATGCATCCATCCAATTCCAATTGACCATTTTCCAAAAAGTGGCCCTAATATTTCTGCTCCTCAGGAAGAAAATGTCTTTCAACAAATATCCTTGCTGTGCTTTTCTAATGTTTCAATTGCATTTGGATCCCTGGACAAGGCATGCTTTCTGCAACCTGCAAGCAGGCACTCTTATCTGATTGGCTTCTGGCAGACCTTGATGGGATAGTACATCTAAACCAAATACGCTAACCATTAAACTGAACACTTGGAATGGTCCTTAGTCGCAGCAAGTATGTATCTGTGGGAATGTCAACATGGAGATGTTTGGAGATACTGCTCCAAGATTACTCCAAGACTGGACAAATAACCAGAAGGCTATTTTTACAATCCCCACAAATTCAGACATAGGGGAAGGAGTATTGAGATCAGCTCATATGTCACAGACCCCTGCTTTCTGCAGTCTTTTTGAGCATTATATGTGCTGGTCTGGAAATGATTTTCAGGTTCTTAACTGTTAAAGTCATTGATTCCATTTAGTATCACCTAATCCCACACTACTGTGTTTTGTAAGTTTCTTTGAGGGTGTGTTTAAAAGCTATTTTTGGCTGGATGGAATTGTATATTTTCTATCCAGCTTATGAGGTAGGTAACAAATAGCACCTTTTGCTAGTATTCCTGGCTGGTTGTAAAACTGGAAGGAAAATGAGTCACTGTGGAGATAATGGGGGAAGCAGCAGTTGTGAAATGTGTGGAATGATGTTAATTGGCATACACTGGCCAAATTCTAAATATAGCTTAATGTATTTAGGAATTAAGAGGTTCTAAAATGGTAATGGAAAAGGTTTATCTTTTGAATACGGTGAGGAAATAGGAACCAAAGGGCATATTTGGTTTTTTAGAGCGTAACTATACTCAACAAAGGGCCGTTGCAGACCGGCCCAAAGGGCTGGCCTGCGGATGGAGTTGGGGTGGGGAAGCTGCGTGCCAACCGCTTAAACCCCACCCCGTCTGACGCTGCATGGCACATGGCATCAGGACTCCTCCTGGCACAGCATTTAAACTCGCTGCACTGAAAGGGCTCTAAAGAGCTGCAGCACCAGTTCTTAGGGCGGCCTTTTGCCACCCCTAAAAAGAGTGGCATTTTGCCACTCTTTTCGGGGCGGCAAAAGGGAGATCGGGGCTGTGGCGTGGGGTTGCCAAGGCCCTGATCTGCCACTTTCTGGGGAGGCTCTGTGCCACCCCAAACAGATGGTCTACATCAGGGGTAGGCAACCTTTTTGAGCCTGGGGCCGGGTTGCTGTCCCTCAGACAATTGGGGGGCCAAAGCACCAAAAATAATAAATAAATAAATAAAAACAAAAACATTTTTTTTAAAAAAATTAAAAATATACACTCTCTCAGCCCCAGAAAAGCCATGACAAACCCCCTGTGGAGATTTTGCCAAGAAAACCCCAAGAACAAGTAATAACAACAATAATCAATATCATCATGGCAGGCAGTGAGGGGCTGCCAGCGGCGGTGGCAGCGGCGGCAGGACTGGCCTGGGGCCGGTCCAAAGGCCTCGCGGGGCCGCATCCGGCCCCCGGGCCTTAGGTTGCCTACCCCTGCATTAAAGCATAAAAACATAACATACAAATACAAGCATGACAAACCAATAATCAACAAAAGAAAACACTTAAATATTTAAATAAAATCCATTGTTACTTTCTATTAAACAACTTCCTGATCAATTGGTGTCATCTTAGTTTTTGAATCTTTCTAGATTTTCTCATGTTTCCGAAACGTAATACATTTAGGCTTTATACTTTATGACTAACTCTGTATGTATAGCTTATTGGTTCTTATAGTGTCAATTTTAATATAATATCTTTACCCTTATCTTCAGAAGTGAAAAAAGAAGTAACCATTATTTTTCTCCTAATACAAATTACTTCATAAATATTCCTTTGCTTCTTAAACCAGATTCCATCCTCCCCTCCCCCAATGTTTTCAGACATAACCAGTCCTCTCATATTTTTTCTTGAGTTTTCTTTCATTATGGCTGTAAAGGTATCTAAATCTATTTCTTTTCTCAGCTTAATTATCCATTCCTCTTCCGTTGTTGTTTGTTTTCTTTTCCAGCATTTAGCGTATAGTATCCTCGCAGAGGTAACCATATATAATATGAGAATACTTTTTTTTTCTATCATGGTATCTAACTTACATGTCATATTTAACAAAAAGATTAAGGGGTCAAATAGTACTTTTCTCTGCAATATCTCCATCACTAAACCATGTATTTTACTCCAATATTTTACTGCTTCTTGACACTTCCCCCAACTGTGAAATAAAGTTCCTTCTGGCTTTTGGCATTTCCAACAGTTTGCATTTCCCATTTGTATATTGCATTAAGTTTTGAGGGGCACATATACCATTGATACATCATTTTGAGATAGTTTTCTTTAAAATTTTGCATAAAATTCTTAGTAATTTTCCATGACTTTTCCCAACTTTCTAAGTATATATGTTTCCCGACATCCAGTGCCCACTTTATCATATAATGTTTGATGGTTTCTTTTTCTAGGTCTCTCTTTTTTAGGGTCTTATAATATTTTGCTATATGTCCTTTTTCCTCATCCAGAAAAATCTTGCCCAACTCATATTTGTCTTTTGTTAGTCCTGGGGAGTTTTTGTCCGCTTTAAAACATTCTGTTAATTGATTATACATAAACCAATTATTGTTTATTTTTAATTTATCTATAGATTTCAATTGTCATCTTTTCCCAGTGTTATTATATCCTTTTATTTTATCCAAGGCTTGCTTTTGTTTTTAGTCCTATGAAAAAAGGCTTCTTAAGAAGAGACCCACATGGGAATTTCTCTGTAATATTGGTTTTTAATTTTTATCCAGACTTTTAATAATGCTATTCTAATGAAGTGGTGATCAAAATCCTTATTATCTTTTAGTTTATTGTACCATATATATGCATGGAACCCATATATTAAATTGCTGCTTTATAGTGATAATACTCTCTCATTGTCTAATTTGACCCAATTTTCTATCCAGTTTAAGCAAGATTCATAGTAATACAATTTTAAGTTGGGTAGGGCACAGCCTCCCTTCTCTTTGTCATCTGTAAATAATTTCTGCCTAACTCTTGCTCTTTTACCTTCCCAAAGAAACTTTGACAGTTCTTTTTGCCACTACTCAAAGTACTTCTTGTCAATTATAACCGGTAAATTTTGAAAAAGATACATAAATCTTGGGAGGATATTCATTTTAATGGTTGCTATCCTTCCTGAGAGAGATAAGTGAAGTTTTGTCCATTTTTCCATTTTTCTAAATCTCTCTTTATCTCTTTCCACACATTTTCGTAATTGTTATGAAATAGGTCTATGTTTCTCTTTGTCAGGAAAATAACCAGATATTTCACCTTGTTTTCTAACATAAACCCCAATTTGTCTCTTGATTCTGCTTTTTTGACTGTTGCTAGATTTTTAGATAAGATTGATGTCTTGTCTTGATTTACCTTTAGTTCCAATACTTCGCCATATTCTTGTAGTGTTATGATTAGTTGTTTTATACTTTTTAAAGGATCTTCCAAAAGACAAATCAAATTGTCAGCAAATGCTTTATTTTAAAGCTTTGGCCTTTCACATTGACATCTCTTATCTCTGGGTCTTCCCTTATTTTATTATTTAACACCTCTTGAACAATTAAGCAAAGCAAGGGTGATGATAGTGGGCAACCCTGTCTGGTGCCCTTTTCTATCTTTATATATTTTGTTTTTTCTTCATTTATTATTAGTTGAGTTCTTTGTTCTTTATGTATAGCTGTTATCCAATTTGAAAATTTATCTCCCATGATCATTCTTTTGATTGTTTCTGTTGATTGAAATAGAGTAAGAGCCAACTTACTCTATCAGAGACCTTTTCTGCATCTATTAGTAACATGGCTATTTTTTTTTATTATGATGTTCGAAATGTTCTGTGATATTCAGCACCATTCTTAAATTGTCTTTTATATGTCAGTTCAGAATAAAGCCACTTTGATCTTCATGGATCCTTTTCTTCAAGATCTTTTTCAATCTTTCTGCGATAATTACAGCAAAAATCTTATAATCTGTATTTGTTGAAGAGATGGATATATAGGTTCCTATGTCCTGTTTGTCTCTATCTTCCTTAGGAATTAGTGTGATACATGCATCTTTCCATGCATCTGGCATTCTGTGTTTGTATATGTCATTTAGCATATTCTTTAAGGGTACCAGTAGGACCTCTTCCATGTTTTTGTAATAAATCACAGATAGTCCACCAGAGTTTTGCCTAGTTTCATTTTCCTATTAGCATCCAGTATTTGTTTGGTGGTAATATTTTGATTTAATTTTGGTGGTAATATTTTGATTGGGCCAAGCCTGAAAAGAAGAAGCCCCTCCCTCCATCCACCATCATCAGAAGGGAGAGAAGGCAGAATGCATGCTGTATTAATCTTATTATGTTTATTTCAATATTGTATTTATTTTATATTTGTAAGCCGCCTTGATTGCTTAGGCAAAAGGCGGGATATAAGAAATAAATTATTATTATTATTATTATTATTATTATTATTATTATTATTATTTCTACCCCAAAGAAACAGAATTGTATTTTGTTTCCAGTTAAGAAAGAACAAGATTCAACCTTACTTCTATCATGTTATTTCTGTCTACAGAATAGGCTAATTTAGGGGGGAAGCAGACGAGTGCTTCCAGGATGCCGCGAGACGTCAGTGAAAGTGCGCCCTAAAAGCATAGGGCGCACTTTCACTGATTTTCCCGCCGCAGCGTGTGCGGACGCTGTGGGGGGAGGTTGCCCTCGGAGCGCTGGCCATGCGGAGGGCCGGCAGTTCCGAGGGCAACCTCGGGAGGAGGAAGGGGCGCCAAGTGTGCGGCTGCCCCTCCTCTTCCTTGCCTCGGAGACGACTCTATTAGTCGTCTGCCGAGGCCCTTACTAAGTTAACCTCTTTAGCTTTTTCAGTAAGATTAATTCCCTCCAAA